CACTGCCCAAGGCCCAGCTCGGAAGACACCCGTTCACCCCACTCATCCCGGTATTCAGGGCCCTGAACAGTTCGAATCTCCAGCTCCCGCGAGTTGCCACCCTCCTCGCGCTGAGTCACTCCCCGGAGCCTGGCTCGGAGACCCGAGCGCTAAGGGACGGGCTGGAGGCCAGCTGGAGTTGAGGCCTGGGGTGGGGTGCGCACTCACCAGCCCGAGGTTCGGCGCTCGTGCGGCCCCGGGCCTGGGCGAGGGGTGGTTGGGTGCTCGGCGAAGGCCGCGGCTCCGGAGGCGGGGGCGGGGCGGGGCCCCAGGGGCGGTCATTCATTGGCTCGTACGCCTGGCCCCGCCCCTAGGGGGAGAGGCCGGAGGCCTGGACTTCTGTCCCTAACCGCCCGGGAGGGGGAGCCGGGACTCGAAGGTGTCTGCGGCCCGGAAACTCCTAACGAACAGCAGACGCCCAGTCCGGCCTTCAAGGCCCTACAGCCGTGCTCCGAGCACCCCTAGCCGGTCTCCGCCGCTGCTGGGTCTCGGCGCCCCACCGGGACTGCTGCGCCCGCCTAGGCCACGTGCGCCCCCGCGGGTCTGGGCCTCTCGCTGGCGCCTCGCCTGGAGAGCAGGCCCTGTTACCTCCTCTCTTCTTTCCCCTCCTTTTTCCTCCCCTGTTCCGTCTCGTCTACTGGCCTGCCAGACAGCTTGCTGTTTGCCCACAGACGGCCCAGATCCACAGCCGCCCAATCTGCCCCCTTCGTTTACCGTGTGGTGTTTCTGAGTTTTGAGTCAGCGTCTCACTATGTTGTAGCCCTGGTTAGTTTTGATCTTGTGGCGAATCTGGTTATATTTCTTCTCCTAACCCCACCCCCAAAGTCGCAGAGAGTACAGGCAAGCGTTGCGGTCCCTGGCTTGTGTACCAGTTCGTGCCAGCTTACTGTTTTACACTCTTGGTCACATTGGCTTTGCATAAAGGAGCACGGCCCCATTTTACAAACGCACTTCAAGATGGTTCAGAGAGGACTGATTTGCTTAAGTTACACAGTAAGGAAGCATTTCTGACAAGGGTAGTGTGGGTGGAAAATTAGCCCAAGGTCAAATCCAGTCTACAGTACTACAGTACTATCTTGCTTCTCCCGCTAGATATTTTTAGCTGGGCAGGGTGCCACTCAGCATTAGGGAGGCAGAAGCAGGTGGATCTCTGTTAAGTCGAAGGCCAAGCAGGCTTACAAAGTGAGACTCTATTTAAAAATACAAAAAGTGGGGGGGGGGATAAAAGTAGAGAGAACAATTTGTATTTCAAAGACACACAACCATCCTACCAATAGTGACGCCCACGGGCATCAGCTCCTGATAGGATGAGGACAGAAAATTAAACTTGAAGTTGGTTGCAGTGATTCACCTCTGTAATCCAAGCTACTCTGGAGGATCTTGAGTTCAAAGCCAGCTGGGTGACAATACAGAAGAGTCCATTTCAAAAGGAAAAAGAGAGAGTTAAACAGACTGGGCAGGGAAGCACTCAGGCACGAGGTGAGTGAAGGGGCGGCTCTGTTGATGGGCATCTGTTCTTGTGGAATACTTTAAGACGTGTTACATTTGTTTAGTAATGCAAAGATGCGCGGTGTTCTTTTATGCTGTAGTTGTTTAACTCTGTGAAACTGTGTTACTTTGCTTGTCTAAAATACCTGACTGGTCTAATAAAAAGCTGAAGGGCCAATAGCTGGGCGGAGAAAGGATAGGCGGGGCTGGCAGAATAGGAGGAGAAATCTAGGATGAGGGAGAGATTAAGGACTGAAAAAAGAAGGGGCCAGCCACGGAATAAGAAGGCAAGAAAAGACATACAGAAATAGAAAAAGGTGAAAGCCCAGGGACAAAAGGTAGATGGGATAATTCAAGAAAATTGTCTATAAACAAGCCAAGCTAAGGCCCGGTATTTATAAGTAATAAGTCTCTGTATGCATTTATTTGGGAGCTGGATGGCGGGTCTCCCCCCAGAACAAACAGCAACTACAGATGGTCAGAATGCTTCTTTGCAGTTCAATGTTTTATTATTATTATTATTATGTATACAGTATTCTGTCTGCTTGTATGCCTACAGGCCAGAAGAGGGCACCAGACATCATTACAAATGGTTGTGAGCCACCATGTGGTTGCTGGGAATTGAACTCTGGACCTTTAGGAAGAGCAGGCAATGCTCTTAACCACTGAGCCATCTCTCCAGCCCCATTAGATGCTTAAAAAAAAAAAAGATATTGTTTCAGAAGATGTATGTGTGCAGTGTGCACGTTTGCAGATGCCCAGTCTCCTGGGGATGGAGTTAAGGGCAGGCATGAGGAGTGAGTCAGTTCTCCAGCTCCTTTGATTGTTTTTTTGTTTGTTTGGGTTTTTTTTTAATTGTTTTTTGGTTTGATTTTTGGCTTTCTGAGATAGGGTTTCTCTGAGTAATACTGGCTGTTCTGGAATGCACTCTGCCGACCAGTCTGGACTTGAACTCAAATCTGCCTGCCTCTGCCTCCCTAGTGCTAGAATTAAAAGCATGTGCCACCACTGCCCAGCTGAGTTTGTTTTGTTTCGTTGTTATTGTTTTTTAAATATGTATTTGTGTGTATATGAGTACACATACATGCACCACCACATTTCTGCAGGAGCCCCCAGAGGTCAGGAGAGGGCATCGGATCTCCTTGAGCTGGAGTAAGAGATGATTATAAGTCACCAGATGGGTGCTTGGAATCCAAGTCTTCTGCAAAAGCAGTAAATGCCACTGAGCCCTCTTCCCAACCCTAAATATTCTTAAAGTGGCAGTTAGGTTCTGGTTGTATAAGATACTATTTATGGGGGGCTGGAGAGATGGCTCAGTGACTAAGTGCACTGGCTGCTTTTCCAGAGATCCTAAGTTCAATTCCCAGCAACTACATGGTAGCTCACAACCATCCATAATGAGATCTGGTGCTCTCTCCTGGTGTGCAGGCAGAACACTGTACACATAATAAATCATTACAAAGAAAAAAGAAACTGGTCCTACCACACTGTCACAGGTGCACCAAGAAGGCCCCCTCCTCAAAGAGCTCCTTCAGTACGCTTTGCTGTACTTTTGCTCCCTCCTTCTCCCCTGTGGGCTTTTCAAGAGGAATGTGTGTGGGGGGGGGGGGGGAATCTAAAAATGCCTGACTCCATGAGGGGAAGGGGAAAGGGAGGCATCTTACACCCCTGAATATGCCTTGCACCTCAGAATCTTCATTAAAATGGAAGAACCCACAAGGGAGGACACAATAGGCTCTTATCCCAGCTGCTTTGGATCAGTCACCTTCAAATCTCTAAACTTCAGTTTTAACTATCTCAGCTGAATTCTCAGTGGAGGAAAGGAAGAGAAGAACCCTTTGCTCTGTAAAAAGCAAAAGAAGTGGAAGACCTAATGCTAACAGTTGATGACACAGCTGGCCTCCATTTTAGGCTGGAAGGCCATCTTAGAGACAAAATTAGGCTCATTTCTGTTTATGATTAAATCTCTTTCTCAACCTTAACTACAAATAGCTCTGTACTACCTGTTCCAGGAAAGACAACCATGCCTTTGTTTCAGAGGTGTTTATCACCATCTTGGGACCCTGCCTTGTTTCAACAACCTTGCAATCATGTCTTTGTTGTTAGGTCGTGATGATTAACATGTTTATGTTCTGCCCCTATAACCCCTACTTTGCCCATCAATCCCCTATTTGGGAACCCCCTACCCCTAAGCTATAAAAACCTTGTCTTCCTCAAATTCAGTGTGGACTTCTTGAACCCTAGGCAGCCCACGTACAGGACTTAAAAGCCTAATTTGGCCATGATGATTTGGGTTGGTGGTCTTTCTCCTTGCATCTTTGGGATTAACCCCTCCTTTTTTTAAGATTTCAAAATTTTATGCATATTAAATGTTTGCTTGTATCCATGTATGTGCACCATATACCTCCCTAGTGCAGCAGAATTCAGAAGAGAGCCTCAGATTCCCCAAGACTGGAACTGGAGCTGGTTTGTAAGCCACTATATGGGTGCTGGGAACAGCCAGGTCTTCACCACTGAGCCATCTGCCCAGCCCAGCAGTTATACTGCAGTGATGACAGGGTTTTCAATGGGGCAGTGACATGGCCTGACAGAATTTTCCAAAGTTCACTGGGGTACAAGGAAAGCATCAGGGTCCTCCAAAAGCCCTTTAAGGGCTCCATTTAGATCCAACATTATTTCTATGCACTTAGACACAAACCTCTAAGGACTCTTGGGGTTTCAAGTATGCATCTCATTTCACAGAAGTCTGGAGTAATTGATTTCTGGTGAAGCCCATCAGATCTTGGGAGAACGTCCATAATTCCTGAGCAATTAGCGGAGTTACCAGGTCTGGCAAGAACTTGCCAAGTAAAATGAACAGAGCTAATGATTCCTGCCACTGGCCAGTTAGGCCTGCTCCTTTCCCTGCCTATTGATGCTTTACTCAGGACAAGATAGGAACGTACCTCCTGCTTCTGTGGAAGCCCTGGTGCTGGGGAAATACTAGACGTTTTAAAGGCCTGAGCAGGTGTTGGCGAATCAGCATCCAGACTTTCTGAACATACCCCAGGCAGCTTAGCAATGTTCTGTCAGGCACTGATGACCAGCTTTCTGAGTTCCAGTCACTGACCTTCCTTAGCATCGCATTTTTCTTTTCAAGGGTCATACCAGGTTATAGCTAAGTTCTTGTGAACAACCAGACCTTAAGTCTATGAAATCAGCCAACAGACCTGAAGACTGTTTTTCCTTGGGTCTGGATCTCACTATATAGTCCAGGCTGGGTCCTTCTAAATTCTGGGACTGCAGGCATGAGCCATGACACCTGCCCCCAATGAAAGCAGCTAGATCATCTCCGACAATCTTCTATTTAACAGACTTAAGGCAAGGGAGCATCTAAGCTTATTACGGCTGAGGGCTTTGCCTACAACAGTGCCTCTGTGCCAACCTCAGCCCTTGCTGGAGTTTGTATTTATTCATGTACACACACACACACATCAGACAAGGGACAGTTTATTAGTAAGGAGACAGACAGACACGTGGCTGTGGAAACTTGTTTCTCTGGCCTGCACTGGCCCTGCCCTCATTCAGCAAGTTGGTCTCTGCAGATGTCCATGACCTAGGCTTTGCATCCAGACTGGAAGCGCTGAACGTTCCTGGTAGCTCTGCTCTACTTCACCAGTGTCCCAGCGTCAGGGCAGCAAGGGCCCTCAAAGCATAGACTTAAGCTTTTTCCCAGAGTCCTCCCTGGATAAAACTACGCCCAAGGATCCACAGGTAGAGGTAGAAACTACCTACGCCACAGCAATAATTCCCCCTCAGGTGGTCAAGATGTCCCTGCCTGTTCTTCCCGCCTAAGGTTTTTTTTTTGTTGTTGTTGTTGTCTTTTGTTTTGTTTTACCATGTAGTCCTAGTCCTGGCTGACCTAGAACTCTTGATGTAGAGCAGTCTGGCCATGAATTCAAGATCTGCCTACTTTTGCCTCCTGAGTGCTGGAATTAAAGGTTGTACACCACTGCGCCCAGCAGAGAGGTACGTGCTCAACAAGAGGCAGCAAGATTTTTAGAGACTCCAGCTACTGATTTTTGCGAGTATGAAGTGCTTACTCTAGGCAGTGCACGAGAAGCTGGCAAGGCTCCCGACACCTAGCCACGAGTTTCCTGAGCGTGAACATTATGGTCTTCAGTCTGTTCCTATCTATTCTCATCCTCCTCATCCCTCCCACCATTTCCCAGGCTTTTCTTCAACAGCAGATACCCTCCCTCTGGTACCCTGGGCCTCTACCCTCCCTGGATTCCCCATCACTTCATTCCAGTTGGTGACCCCTCCTGGAGGAGGGGCCTTGACCGGACATCCGCTATCCCAAAGGGCCTCAGGACCAGATGCCCACGCTGGTGCTTGATTCGAGCAGAGCTGTCACTGAAGCCCTTGCCACACTCTGCGCACTTGTACGGCTTCTCCCCGGTATGTGTGCGCCTGTGCTTGATTAGATCTGAGCTCCGGGGGAACTCTTTCCCACAGAAGCCACACACATGAAGCTGGCTGGGTCCAGAGGGCTGGGCCCGCACTCGAGACTGAGGGACTATGGGTACAGGCCCAGGTGGGTTATGTGGCTGCAGGAGGGTGAATGGTGGTGGCGGCCTGGTACGCTCGCCCTGGTGCGTGCGGAGGTGCTTGACTCGGGCAGAACTGTCAGCAAAACCCTTGCCACACTCAGGACAGAGGTAGGGTTTCTCCCCTGTATGAACACGATGGTGTTTCACCAGATCGGAGCTTCGGCGGAAGCCTTTGCCACACTCAGGACACTTGTGGGGCTTGTCACCAGCCAGTGGTGGGGGTGGCTCTCCGGCCTGTGGGCCCCCAGGCTCTGGTTCCAAGCCAGGCAGGCCAAAGGGCCCATCACTGGAATGTGAGGGGCTTCGAGGTGTCAGTGAGGGGCTCGTGCCAAGAGGAGGTGGAGGTGGGCTGGGGATGAGGGGGGCTACAGGATAGGCAGAGAAACTAAAGTCCTGGGGCTCCACGTGGGTGAGGCGGTGACGAAGAAGGGTCGAGCTGAGGCTGAAGGTACGGTTACACTCTGGGCAGGCATGAGGTCTCTGGCCACTGTGGGTGCGCAGGTGCTTCACCCGCGCAGAGCTGTCGGCAAAGCCCTTGCCACACTCAGGGCACAGGTAGGGCTTCTCACCGGTGTGTACCCGCAGGTGCTTCACCAGGTCAGAGCCCCGGGCAAACTCCTTTCCACACACATCACAAGCGAAGGGTTTGGGTCCTAGGTGACTACGCTGGTGGCTCAGGAGGCTGCAGCTTAACACAAACCTTTTCCCACAGTCAGAACAGCTAAAGGGCTTGTCCTGGGCCTTGGGTCTCTGTGTAGCCGTTGGAGTTGCCTGAGACAGTTGCCGCCGCGGAACCACTGGCCGGGGGAGCTGCTCCCCCCTGTGTGTCCGCTGGTGCTTTATTCGGGCAGAGCTGTCCCCAAAGCCCTTGCCACAGATGCCACACTTGTAGGGTTTCTCTCCCGTGTGTGTCCGCTGGTGTTTGACCAGGTCAGAACTCTGCCGGAAGCTTTTTCCACATTCACCACAGATAGTGGGGCGCTCACCAGCAGGAATCCGAGACCGAGGCATCTTGGGAGGACCCGAGGCTGGGGGCCGGACTCTGAAGGGCTTCTCACCGGTGTGAGTTCGTTGGTGTTTGATTCGGGCTGAGCTATCCCCAAAGCCCTTGCCACAGACCCCACATTTGTAGGGCTTCTCCCCCGTGTGAGTTCTCTGGTGTTTCACCAAATCTGACATCTGTCGGAAGCTCTTGCCACACTCACCACACACTGCAGCTCGGTCATTACTAGCCTGTCCCCAGCGGGGTTCTCCCAGGACCCTGGGGACTGGGTCTCGAGGCTGACGCTTCCCAAGCCCCTCTCTGTGGACCCATAAGTCATCCCAGCTCTGAATGCCTTCAGGTTTGAGAGAAGCATTTCCTACTTCGTGACCTGGGGTTAATTGTTCCTCTTCCTTGAACTCTAAGCCATCCTCCTCCTGTGGAGTGTGTTCAAACTCATCCACGGGAGCCTCCATATTCTCACTCCCTAGACTGGAGAAAGAAAACAGAATTATAAATCTCACCCTTTGGCTCAACCTCATTTTTTCTTTCAGTGCTGCTGGAGCAGAAGCCAGGGCCTCTACCCCTACTGGTAACTTCCCCAGGAAGACTTCACAGTGCATGAGCTCCTGAGTTCTCCCTCTCTACTGAATTTAGGGAGCACTAATTATCTGCCACTCGATTATAAGAACCACTGTGCTGTATCCCTAGCTCTCTTTGTTTTATTTTGAGTCAGGAGTTTCGATAACTTGCCCAGACTGGCCTTAAACTTTCAATCCTGCCAGGCACGGTGGTGCATGTGTTTAATCACAGCACTGGTAAGGCAGAAGCAAGTGGATCTGACTTCAAGGCCAGCCAAGCAGGATACAGAGTAAGAACTTGTTCCAAAACAAACACCATTCTCAGCTACCAAGTTCTGGGATTACAGTTATGTGCCGCCGTCCTGGCTTACTACGTTTTTAATTGACAATCACCAAACTAAACAGTATGGAACCCTCAAAATCCTAATAGCAATATTATTCTCTTTATTTTACACTCATGGAAACAAAGAAAGAAATTTTCTTTTCCTTTTTTTTTTAACAGGCTTTTTCTTTAGTTACCAATCAGTTCCCAAATCATGACACAGAGACTTATTAGTCTGAATGCTTGACCTTATCTTATGCTTGCCCCACTAGCTCTTATAACTTAAATTAGCCTGTTTCTCTTCATCTATGTTTTGCCTCGGGGCTTTTTACCTTTCTTTCTTCTGTTCTATACGTCCTACTCTGTCTTGCTGGCTGGCCCAGGGTTCTCCCTCCTTCCCTCTCCTCCAACTTTATACTCTCTCTGCCCATAAGCCCTGCCTAACCCTCTACTGCCTAACTATTGGTTATTTATCTTTTTATTAGATCAATCAGGAACCTTAGGCAAAGCAGCACATCTTTGAATAATTAAACAAATGCATAAACAAATGTAACACACCTTTGCCTAATTACAAATATTCCACATTTTTTTTCTTTTCTTGTTTTACAAGACTTTACAAGGCTGTCCTAGAACTTGTTCTGTACACCAGGCTAGCCTTGAACTCACAGAGCTCAGCCTGCCTCTGCCTCCTGAGGGCTGGTATCAAATTCGTTTGCCGGCCACTACCACCCACCCCACCCCCAACCCAAACAGGGCTTCTCTTTGTAGCCCTGGCTGTCCTGGAACTTGCTTTGTAGACCAGGCTGGCCTCAAACTCAGAGATCTGCCTGCCTCTGCCTCCCAAGTACTGGGACAAAAGGCATGCTCCTGACTAAAGAAATTTTCTTAAGGTTCAAAAGTTATAGAATGGCCAAGTTTCTAATTCCGTCTCTCCAAGCCTGTGTTACATTACAGTTTCTCTATTTAGAAAACCTAGGATGTGGTTTATTGAATCTGTTTTGTTTTTTTCCTTCAGCTTTTGAGACATTCTCACTATACCGCCCAGGATGGCTTTGAATGCTCCACCCTCCTGGAATTACAGGTATTTGTCACTACCACTGGCTCTATTCCGTTCCTTGGAACTTCAACGATACTGTACGTACTCACTTCCCTACAGATACTCTGGAGTGGTAGGAGAGAAAAGACAAAGTAACAATGACTTAACTGTGGGTTCCTAACAACTCTGTTATCACAAGGGAGGCAGGAGATTAGACGTCAAGGACAAGCATCACTCCGTAGCAAAGAGAAAACTATGGAAAGGAATGAGGTATTAGGAAAAGGTTACTGAGCCTAGTCGGAGTGTGTGTGTGGGAGGGGTGCACGTTAACACTAGGTTCATTAAGGCTTTTGATTAATAGCAATTAGGAAGGTGAAGGAGGTTTTGAGAAGGGAGCCAGGATTAGGGCTGGATTTACATCAGAGTGGCTGCAGAAAGCATGCTGAGGAGGACAGGGCAGGGGAGGTCATCACAATTGAGCCCGGAGGCCTGCAGAAGAGCCGAGACAGTGAGGATGAGCGAAGGCCCGCGGGGGAGGGGAGAGCATGGTGGGAGATGCCCGCCCCTCGGCCTGGCGCACAGTAGGTGCTCAGAAACGCTGGTTCCGGATTTGCTCCAGCGCCCCTTCGCCCGCGTCCGACTTTCCCGGGTCCCCAAGAAGCCATTACCTGCAGGCGCGGCGCCGGCCGCCGCCCTCACCTGTATCGACGGCTCTCTGCCGCTCCCAGTCTGCCGAGCCGCGGAGCTCGGCGCCTCAGGGTTCTGCCGCCGGCTGCACCGTCGGTCCACGACCCGAGCGCGGCTCCGGGACTCCGAGGGCAGCCGCCGTCCCCTTCCC